CGTCGGAGTAATGCGCTAATGGAATAATAAGTTGACGACTTTCCTGTGTATATATTTATGCAAATTTTCTATCTTTTATCATATGAAACTTTTCATTTCTTGTATTTGCTTAAGGTAGCCGGGAACATGCATCGTCACCCTATTTTACATATCACTTGATGAGTCATATACGGTGATGGACATATATTTCCGGTTACACCCAAGTTTTCTCCGTATTACGCTGTCACGAAAATTATGATATGTGCCGGGTATTTCATGTCGCATACAGTATAAACAAGAAGTTGTGGATACACAAGTATAAAAGAACGCTGAAATGTTCCAATATATAATTAAACTCCTAATTTTCGTTCTCTTTTCATGGTGTTGTCTCTGCAAAGCAAACGGAATTAAACAATCACGAAAGCATTTGATTCAGTCTAGCTCTGTAAGCTGAGCTCTCCTTTCTGCAGCTCTCTTCCTAATAAAAATCCCCCACCTTAACGCAGCTTTGAGCTTAAGCCACCCGACAACAGCCTTCCCTGAGCTCTTCGCGTGCTCTTTCCTGAACGGCTGGGGCTCATATTGTACACCGTAATTATAACACGACTCATCAGAAGCACCAAAACCAGCTCCTCCTGCTCCTACGCCGACTCCCATACTAAACGTCTTGAGCAGTCTTTGCATGTCATCACTCTCCAACATCTCTGAACTCCTGATCCGGATTTCATCAGCAACAAAATCGTCCAATCCATTCCCATAGTTTGGCCTCGTCCAATCTCCTGAAAAATGTGAACCTCCAACCACTGGCATGTAACCCATGCTGCTAGGTAATGCTGCTGGTTCCGGGTTATTAAATTTGATCAACGCTGTTTGGTCGGAACTCACAAATGGAAATTCAATGAACTGAGGGACGGATGGGTGGCTATTTTCGGGTTGGAAATGTTGGCTGAATTGAGGGGTGTACTGCTGCTGCCTATTCTGAGTAGATGCAGAATGGTGATCCATCGCAGCATAGTTGTTGTGGGCAGCCACCGGTGCAGGTGAAGCTCTCACGACCTGTTTGTTTCCGGCGAGAGCATGTAAGACTTTTCCATCATATTCTACGACTTGGTGCCAATTATCGTACGCTCTCTTCACCAGAGAATCCACTGAAACCTGCATGTAGGGCTCAAAGTGGGTGAGATAAGTTGAAAGATAGGCAAAATTACCCCAACCTTTGTGAATAACAAAAATCATCCAACCTTTTGAGTGTGGGTGAGTGACTCCAAGGCAAGAAACTGCCCTTCAGCGATAAGTCCCCTAAGCTCGTAAATGTGGTTGAAAACAATGCCCGTGCCGTGAGTCTGATCAGTGTAATAAACATAGAGCTTTCCACCCAAGACACAGGTTTTGGCATGATCCACTGTGTTGTCCCACATCCTGTTGGACATCCCGCTCCCAAGCATCTATATTCCCATATACAGAAATAGAGTACCCGAAAAAGAAGAGAAAATGGTGTTCAGAAACAAATGCATAGGATACTTACATTTCTTAGTTTCTGCGGGTCCTTGACAAGAAGGCGAAGGAAGTCTTCAACGGTTATGATCTCAGCCTTTGTCAATTTTTTGTGCAGAGCTCCATCCTTTGCTATTCTATCCAATCTCCAAACTTCGTCGTGCAAAGCCGGTGGGTAGTGTTTCTTGTACACTTCAAATTACAGAAACAGAAACTTGGTTTAGATAAGCTTTGCAGGTATTTTGTCGAAAAGAGAAATCGAGGGTGAAGTGACCTTTTTATATCAAAATTTTTTTCAAGGCTGAAGTGTGGTGCATATAAAGTAAAGGGTAAAATAGCAAGCTTCAGACAACTCACATTCTCCCCTGTGATCTTTAACAGAAAAGGCATCCGTTTTAGCCTCACAAATACGAATTTCCTCACAATATCCAGGGAAAAGCTTAACACCGAGCCTGAATTTCCTGCTCCTCGTCCAGCTAGAATTGTCGGTGAAGGTAAGATCTCCTAGAGTACCTACCCCTTCCTTAAGAACAACCTGAAGATCCCCTGTCAGAAGCGGCCTTTTCCCCTCACGTTCCTTTACTTCGTGGTTCTCAAAGTGTTCTTTTGTCCAATTATCCTCAGCTTCCTCATTGAAGTCACCTTCCAGCACTACAACATTCAGTTTTGCAGCGGATTCGGGTCCTGTTTGCATAACACTGCCTGTGCCGAGATCGACCAAAACAACATGAATTGCTGCTCCTTGCTCTCCTTCAACCTTTGCACCTGTGAATAGATGAGGTGGCATTCTTGTTTTGAACTGTAGTTGCAGGGTTTTTCCTTCCGGACCCTGTATTCTTGGCGGTGGAGACCTGCAGTATTTCCGAAACTGCAAACGATAAATTTACTGATACGGTCTTCCCACCCCAACCCTCAACCAAATACACAGATAGAAGGAAATAAAGACAAAAACACGATAACTGATGAAAATACGAATAAGAAAGCACAGTCAATGACTTGCATGGAACAAAGAGACATCTAAATACTATGGTTGGAACAAACCTTCCAGCCAGTTCAGCAATGTCTAACTTTGTCAAAGCGCGCTCGACTTCTTCACTAACCTGTTACTCAAAGAAAGTTTAGAATGATCAAAAGAATGAGAATACATGTTTTTACGCATAACTGAAGACAATTTTTTGTGCAAAATGCAGCCCGGGAAATACTGTGCAGCACAGAAGTTTTTCTGCATTATCCATGTCAGGATACTAAGAAACCAATACTATATAGTAATATTTTACAGGAAGGAAAATAAACATAAAATGCTATAATTCACTGTTTCGGAAAGGTAGGAAAGCGAAGAAATGCAGTTCGTTTCAACATTTGGGTCAAATTCTAAGATGCGAAGAGTAACAATCTGACTCACAATTCGGCGGAGAAGAGGCTCCAACGATGAGCAAAGTCTTTGCAAGCTATCTACCTTCAAAGATTCCACAATTACACTGCATATAACATTCAACTGTATAAACAACAGACTTCGAAAAAACAAAAAACAAAAAGATATCGAATCCTTCTGCAATTTGGACGAAATCCCAGTGAACTTTCAGCCTCAGAAGCACAAAAATCACTTGATAATTCAATACAAGGATATGAATTTGCAACTTTCAATCAAAGTTGTTGTAATGTTAAACTTAACACGAAAGCTTGAAGTTTGAAACAACTGCCGTAACAGAGTACTGCCTTCTCTTTTTATCAGTGGGAAAGGGGATTCAAACTCGAGACATCTTCCAAAATTCTGGCAGGAAATACCGCTAGACCAATAGCTAGTCGGTGAACAGAGTATCAGTTTCAATAGCACAAAAGCACATTCATCAGCTTATAACTTATGACTGCATCCGTAAAAAAATGTGCTTTCACAGTATTTGGTACAATTATATTGGAAGTCGGGATTTGAGCCAAGTCACATCGCACTGGTCGTGAATCTTAGACCTCTAACTTACAAGCAAGCACAGATACAAGTTTCAACTTTCAACATATTCGCTAAGTTCAATCCAATTAATCGAATCAGATTAATATAAAAAAAAAACTAATCCAGAAGATTAAACCCTTTAAGCAATCAAATTAGCACCTGTTAACAAAATAAAAAATAAAGCATAAAATCCAGTGAAAAAAGAAAGAAAGAAAGAATAAAAACCTTGCCAAAGCAGGCAATCTCTGCTTCTTCGGCTCGGGAGGATGATCATCTGCATCGGCATCCAATTCATGCCCTCTCTTCTCCACCCTCGTACTCCCCGAACTTTCCATTTTCAGAAACTTATCCAAAAATCTCCGCCGCCAAAACACTTCCCAAACTTAGAAACTTCACAGAACAGAAGAATACAAAACAAAGAGGGGAACCGCAAAGTTTCCAACTTTTGAGACCCCAGAAGACAAAAAAGGTCGTTTTCGTGACGATTTTTGCGTTCTTTTGGGATCTGGGAATTGATTGGAAAGATCTGTTTGTTGAGTATTTGGTGGATCTATATCGATTTTTCTGGATTTTTTTTATATTTTATCCTGATCCGAAACAGAGTATATTATTATTGGGTTTTGCATGTTATAATATTTCACCGGCGCAGAGATGGGTTCCATGGTCTCTCTCTCTCTCTCTCCTCTGCTTGTGAGTGCATAAATCTTGAAAATCCGAACGCGTTTTTAGGTGAACTTTTGGATTTGGTAAATATTAATAATAATTATGGTAAGGAAGTCAATGGGCATCTCATGCGCCGACAGAAATGACCATTTTTGTAAGTTTGTAATTGTAATTATATTCGTGCCTCGTTTAAATTTCGTTTACTCCGAAAAATTGTGAAAAGAACAGGTCAAGTTAATCTGAATTTCAGCGCACAATTGCTGTTTAGACGAGAAAAACTTAGGTAAAGCATGAGATCTGATGTAATCAGGTCGGAAAAACAAGTCTGAAGGGGCAACTCTCGTATCATATAGGATCTGTGCGAGATCAGAATATAACGGGATCTTATATTTTTGTGAGAACTTGAAAAGTGCCTTAAAGGTGACATTCTCGAAGTGTTTCTACTCGTGTATTTCTCATAGTCAGGTAGTTTTGCCGGAATTTTTCTCAATACTCTTTAAAGAAAACTAATGAAAATAACTTGAAAACTTTGAGTTTTAATGATAAGGACAAAATAAAGGGTAAAATGAATAGTACCAGAATTGACTTTTTAATGTAAAATTGTGGTTTTTCATTAAAGTGAACAGTACTAGGTGCTTTTCGTTAAAGTTCCCGGCTTGGTAATAGCTGCGAAACCCATGTTCTTGGAATGCATTTTTCATTCCAAAATTTCTTCACCTCGAAGACTTTGTTCGATCAACGATTAAATTATTAATTTCATGACTTGGGTGTCTTTATTAATCATAACACGTGATGCTAACATACGCAAGCAATAAACAACAGGAAATTCAGTTGATCTTTGAGGAAATACCTAAAAAATAAATAGTTCGGATCGTTAGAATACATTACGAAGTGGACTCACAAATACTCGTGTCAAAAGTTGTGTAAAAATATAGAGCCACGAATCCGCTCCCTGTATAATATATACTAATCATAATTTTACTGTGGTATGAATTACTTCATATAAGTAGAGTTGGCTAGGGATCATAACATTTTGTTCAAACGGTAAAATCTGGTAACTATATGACGTTTGAGGGCAATCAAGTACAACTAGTGGAAGAGAAAGATAGCAATTATGCTGTAACAGGGGAAGAAACAACCGATGCAATTTGCGTGGTTGTGTGTATAAATACTGCGGAGAAAGAAGAATCGCTAGTTGAGCCGAACGAGAACTTGCAATCGAATTTTACAAGCTATTCTCCTGCCCAACCCATTTGACGGGCTCGTCTTTCCCACAAGAAAGTCACCTTTCTCTCCTTGATGAGCAATGCCTCAGCGCGCTCTCTCGCCTCCTCGCAAGTTTCTGTTGCAGCATTGCACTTTTCTGCTTCTTTCTGGTACTGAGAAGCCACCCTCTTTGCTTCAGCACATGTGATGTTCATGTGTCGGGTGTGCTCTGCAGCAACAGCCTCTTGCAGCTTCAATTCCTCTGTTAAAAGGTCCACAAATTGCTTCTCCATCTCCCGCTTCAGATCTGGGTCATTACTTCCGCAATCTGATCAACATAATATTCATCACATTCATGTACTTGTACATATAGATCACAAGAAATACCTGGAATGCAGAAAAAGGAATAAACCAAGACGTTGAATGGAATGGTAGGAGGCATTGTAACCTGTGACTGAGAGATTGGCCAATCCTGCAACGGAATAACGAACAACAAAAAAGGAGCATGTTATTATACAGATGGAAATGAACTCCCAGAATACAATAGTTTGAAAGAAGATACGGAAGACTGAATAAAAATGCCATGACAAGTGCTCAATCTAAATTTAAAGCACTATATCGTTGTAGCTCTAGTTCTTCTACAGGTAGTTAAACAACTCATCAAATATGTGAACAACCCACTTACGACAAGATAAGTTCAAACAACCACTCTCCCTCTTCCCCCAGTTCGACCCATTTCGAGTAACTGGGCACACTAAGAATATTCGACAGTAATTGTATGATCAAACGAGATTTCCAGGCACCCATGGATTAAAATCACAACATGCAGAACTAGAGCAAGCAAGATTATGTTGCCAAAAAAGGAGCACATCACGGATCCATGAACTCAGATCAGAAAGACTACATACTGCCCTCGGTACTTTAAACAGTTGATATATGATATGCAGGTAGGTGCTGTATTTACATTTCAAGAACCATACTTTGCACAATGTATATAGAGCAAGTAAAAACTAGAGCAGCAAAGATCTCAACTTTACTCGAAACAAATTATAATTCAAAACCATGAACTGGATTCAATGCCACAAATCTAAAAAAAGGTCGTGCCCAGTGCTAAAGGCTCCCGCTTTACGTAGGGTCTGGGAGAGGTGAATGTCGGCTAGCCTTACCCCCATTTATGGAGAGGCTGCTCCCAAGTCTCGAACCCGAGACCTACCGCTCATGGGCGAAGGCACTTGCCATCGCACCAAGTGCGACCTCTACAATGCCACAAATCTATCAAAAAGGAAATTCCAATTTCACTCTGTTCAGCTTAAAATCAGATGGAATAAGAGGAAAAGTAATCTAAATCGGAATTGGGTTCCATTTCTCACACATAATCCAATACAACAGCAGCTACAAATCCAAAAGTAGCAAAAACAAAGATCAAAACACCAAACTGATGCCATGGGTACGCATTAATTTAACTCCAATCAATAAAAATCCATACTTTCAAAAGAACCCAGAAACGAAATATCACAAATCAGATTCGAAACAACAAAATAAACCCACATTTGAGAGAGAGAGAGAGAGAGAGAGAGAGAGAGAGAGAGAGGTACCAGGAGCAATCTTGAGGAGAGACAAAGGAGGAGGGCAATCGCAGTTGCAAGAAGGGCAAGAGATTTTAGAACCCCCCAACTTTACGGTCTTCTTGAACCGCCAATACAAGGCCGGCCCGCAAACCCCCAATGCAGAAACCACCGCAAACACCACCAAACAGCACCTCAAACAGGTAGCAGATCGTCTTGACATCTCTCTCTCTCTCTCTGTCTCTCTTGTTTCTCTCTCTAGGTATGGGAGTATTAGTGTGGGAAGTGTAATTTGGGGAAAGTGAGATCTAATTAGGAATCTATGAGAGACTGGTTGTTTTGAATCCTGATTAGGGGAGAGTCAAACTGCCTTGGAACAAGTCTCAGTGGCTCCACTCCACATCCACATTTATGGGAAACAGCCAGAAATTTTCTAGTGGTTTTGGTAAACAAGCTCTCTCCTCTCTCGGTGTTTTTTTCCCCAACTCAAAAGCAATTATTAACAGTTACTTAGTATTAAGATTTAGTGTTATTCCTTTTTACGTGAGAGATTTAGGTTCGGTTATTGCTAAAGGAGAATTTAAACTCATTATTGATTTAGTGATATAGCTGGCATAACGGTTTTTCTAGTATACACCGAAGCATAGTATAAATTAAAATCTTTACCGTCAGATCTTAGTGATTAAATTGTAACCGCAAATACAATCGGTTTGTTTACCTAATTCATATTATGTGCCGGTTCATTCTAAATTGGACGTGCAAATTTATGTTTGTGTTCGAGCGGGCCTGCTGTAAGCTTTTAGAATCGGACTAGGATTCTCTCATTCCTCTTTCCATCTCCTTCCACTCCATCTTCTCACATTCTATATTTTGTCTTTCCCTTGTATATAAAAAAATTAATATAAGATGTTAACGTGACTTAATTGTGACCGTTCAAATAGAAGATGAATAATGGGAAGGAAAAAAAGAGAAGAGATAATCCTACTCCTTTATAATCTTGTGACGGACCGTTGTTTTCGCATGCTTGTTTAAAGAAGATATTTCAATCCAATAAATATGGGCTTAAAGAGGCCCGTTGACATAACAGCAAATCCAGATAAGAAGTGGGCCATAAAGCCCAACATTGATTTTTTTTTTTTTTGACAATGGGATAATTTAAATTATTTTTAATCTCTGAGGATGGGTTTTCGAACATTTTTCTTATAGCGGTATTGGTTATGGAGGAATCAAACTCACCTATTTAACCAATTGAATTATAGAGTTGTATACATGACAAATAAATTTGAATGCATATAAGCGAAGACATATTATGACAGTTAATTAAACTAACAACTCCTTAGATTTTTTGATTTTTCACAAAAACTTCCTCATGTTTAAGAATTTACCCCTTTAATGAAAACCCGAGGGGATTTTGTGAAAAAAATTGAAAAACGTCTAAGATTGTTAGTGTAATTGACCATTTATTTTGACAAACAGACTTAACTCAATTAGAAGTCACCACTTGCACAATTTAAGTCGTCTAGGAACAAATATTATAACTACTTACATAAATAAATAAACTGAAAAATTATATGTTTGTGTTTTTAAATAAACAATAAATTAAAAACATTGATTTCTTTTCTAATTTAGCTTGTTAATTTATATATTTATGGTGTCATAAGTTATAAGAAAATATCATAATTGTGGGATTGATCTTAACAGTTGGGCACATCCATATGTGGGATTGATCTTATCATACTTAAAGCAGAGTGTGATCGACATTTGAGACATTTAGACCTTAGGTGGACCCCTTGATTTCACAAGGCAAAGAGAGTGACATGCCTAATGCTTCTCATCAAGTTTGCTTCTCTTTCAAGTTTCAAACTACCATCCCAAGTTGCTTTTCTTACGCCATAAGGTTTGGAGATATTTTGCAGAAAAAAACAAAATAAAATTTCCACCGCTTATACAATAACACGGTAACTTAACAAAGTAAGTTAATTTTTTCTACTTAAATATCTAAATTTGTTGAATCAATGAATGCCATGACGGCAATTGAAGATTGGGAAATAGTTGTAAAAAAGAACCCCTAAGCTAAGCACTTGATCAAATAGCTTCGGAAAGTACCATACTGTCTGTGTTCGAGACACAATAAAAAATTTCTCCAAAATTTGATCCTCTTCATTGTATAAATTAATCTTATTGATAGTAAAGTTAAAAATGACATATCAATGTAATTAAAAAAGACACAATAAGAATTCGTTTCTCTTTTAAAATTAAAGAAAAAACAACAAAAATAACAAACATTTATATCTTTCGGAAAAGGATCCTCCCCTCCATCAATCCACATAATCTCTAAATTCAAACTTTTGAAATTTGATCAAACGGTTACAAAAAAAATAATATTTTTAAAAGTTATAATAATTTTAGTCATTAGATTAAATTTCAAAAATCCAAATTTAAGAATGGAATGAATTTGATTGAAGAGATTCGGAGATGATTCTATCTATATCTTTCAACTTTCTCTTATAGCAAATGGGAGATCGACATTACGCGAGAGCAACTTCTCGAATTCTGAATACTTCCAGAAACAAATGCAACTGTACAAAAACCTGGATTCTGGAATATTGTCGTGTATGTGTGGATCAAGTTCAACCATTCACACTCCACGTGTAAGGCTCATAAAGCACCACGTCCCCCTCCTTCCAATACACCTTTTGCCACCTCAACACACCTTATCCTGTTACAAAACCCCCACCGAAAAATTGAAAATTCGCAAATTCCCGCACCAATTCCTCACTCGCTCTCTCAAAAACCAGAACACAAACACTTCATCTGCAACAATGGCGACGAAGAAGGCGATGGAAGTCGTGAAGGGCCTGGATCTGCAGCGCTACATGGGGCGGTGGTACGAGATTGCCTCCGTTCCGTCGCGGTTTCAGCCCAAGAACGGCGAGAACACGCGTGCCACCTACACTCTGAAAGACGACGGCACCGTGAATGTGCTGAACGAGACTTGGACCGACGGGAAGAGGGGGTTCATCGAGGGCACCGCCTACAAGGCGGACCCGAATAGCGACGAGGCGAAACTGAAGGTGAGGTTTTATGTTCCGCCATTTCTGCCGATCATTCCTGTCACGGGGGATTACTGGGTTTTGTTCATTGACGAGGATTATCAGTACGCTTTGATTGGCCAGCCTAGCAGGAATTCCCTTTGGGTACGTATACGTTTAATTTACCGTTAAATTCAGTATATTTTATTAATTTATTTTTGATTTTGTTGATTTTTAGTGAGAATTAGTATTGTCGGTTGAAAAAATACGCACAGATAGAACCGATTACAAACTTTTAATCAAAACAAAAGTCCCTCATGTTGTCATCGTAGTTTCTCGGGTTTTATTTTTTATTTAAAAGTTTGTGATCGGTTCTATTTGAGCATATGACGCCTGTTTGATTTTGTTGTGCTTTGTGTAAATCCGTATATAAAAATTTGATTGTTGTTATTGGTGGGGGGTGGGGAATTGGATGCAGATATTGAGCAGGCGGCCTCATCTGGATGAAGAAATATACAACCAGCTGGTCCAAAGGGCGGCGGACGAGGGCTACGACGTGAGCAAACTCCACAAGACGCGGCAGAGCGAGAGTCCGCCGGAGGGAGAAGAAGGCCCCAAAGACACCAAGGGGCATCTGGTGGTTCAAATCCATCTTCGGAAGATAGAGATAATCTCGTAGCACACTCCTACTGTAGCAGTGTAATCATATTTGGGAGTCTGAGTGAGTGTATGTTTTTGTAATAAGAAACGCTGAGACCCCCTTTGCAACTTGTAGACTGCCTCTCTACCCTAGCAGCGACGTCGTTTTGTGATTATGTTAGTTGTTGTACTGTAACAACGTTGTAAAGTTTCCATCAAGTTGGTTTTGTTATGCATTTTGTGTCTGGATTTTGATCGAATTTTCTGGATGGTAATTTGGGATGATTAGTTAGTAAAAAAAGAATCCAAGGACCACAGTTGAGAGAAATTTTAAATAATATGAACCCTAAAAGATAAATATCAATATAGAAGTTTAAATAATGCAACAAACACAAGATTAAATAATTATCGATGTCATCGAAATCACTAAAATAATGAAAATAATGTAGTCTTACCTCATGTGAAGCTTCCGAAACATCGATTTTGTATTTCATTCGTCAAAAACAATTTTCCTCAATCAATATGTTTGTAGTATCATTGGTTAGGGTTTTGTTCAACAATGGGGGATGTGAGAGTTTTGATAGTTGAGAAGATAAATAATACACTAAAAGTGATTTGAGATGTATTTAGAATTAAAAAAAAAAAAAAAAACCTAATAAGGTCAAAATTGTCATTGCATAGTAGGGTAAATAAATCATTTAATATTAAATTTTAATGTGAGGTATATTCAACATTATGTAGAGTGCTAATACAAAAAACCTTTTTTTACCACTTATATAAAAACACATAGTGTATCTTTTGTGTGTACCGTTTCTGTTTCGGTGACAACGAATTTTTTTTCCACAGTTTAATGGATGTGTGTGGGGGATTATGTCTTTCCGTTCTTATCAAGGTTTTATCCGTGTGGACAATGTCAACATCGCCAGTATTCAACGGATGTCGAGAAACTTCCATGTGACAACGGATGTCGGCAAACTTTCCTGTGACGGGTGCAACGATCCGGTCTTTCTCGTCATGTGATATATCACCAGCCATACATACATACGAGTACAGCACTCCTCACTTGTCCAGCGACGTGTTATTAAAATAAGACGTACGGAAATCATTTCCCGCTAAAAAATGGGCAGCATCCATTCTATTTCTGTAAACAAATCTACCATAAAGAACCCGATGAAAGGAAATCATTTCCCGCTCACAAAATGGGCAGAATCCATTCTATTTCTGTAAACAAACCTACCATATAGAACCAGACGGTAGCATTAACAATCATGAGGACCCAGCTTCGAAAGAATAAGCAATGACATAGATTTCATAAAATCATACTGAGAATATCACGTACATGCAGGCGGAGACGTACTTAAAATCTCAAGTTACGAAACAGAAACCGTAGTATATTATAATAGCAGGAGACCTCTATGAATATTTGGTTTCCCTTTCTTTGATACATACGAAAATGAGGGAACTTCACACACTTCTGCCAAATGATATCAACATATTACAATCATCAATTTCTCATCCATCAACTTCAACATCATAGCATGGGATTGTCGTTACAGGATTGCTGCTCGGCTTACAAGCTTACAATATGGTACAACACGAATTGGCCTGTTTTGCCTGCTTGTAGAACATCTGTTTCAAACAAACACCGTCGTCATGTACTCACGTTAGAAACAAACTTAGGGTATTTAAACACTGATTGGCCCGTTGAACTTTCCAAACTTCTACGGGCAGATCTAGAGTGTTTAAAACAAAAGGCGAAAAAAGTTATCAAAAATCCTTACGCACAACTTGAAATACAAACCCTAAAATCTTCAGTACAGTGTAATCAGTGATGATATGTAAGACAGATTGTAAAAATAAAAATTAAAAAAATATTATAATCACACTACGATAAACTTGGGCCTTTATGTTCAAATGCAGACCATGACATCACACTTGAAATTATATGTAATTAACATGACAGTGGCTGATATGTACTATATGAGTGTGTGCAGCGGTAAACATGTCATTGTATCACAAGAATTTTATGAATGTACCTGCGATGCTGCACTAAGATCTGAACTCTTCTCGACTAAACTGTCCAGTCTCTCACCTCGTGCAAGCACACTATCAATAGTCTTATGCTGTACCATGGAAAGAAATAACAAATAAGCCGGGTGATAAATGTAGAAGGTGGCAAATATGAACCGGGATATGGCAGATAAAGATAAACTTATATCACTTAAGATATCTACAACTTATTTCAGGCAAAGAATTCAGCATATACGATATTAAGTTGAAGATTTATTTTGGCCATTACTAAACAAAAGTAAACATGTAAAATTGGAGGTCCAACAAACAGATTAAAGGATCACACAAAAACGAGCGACAACAATATGTTGATCAAAATCTAACTGAAGTAATGCATTATACTCACAAGGATAATTTTTGTTTCATCCAATTCCCTCTGAATTTTCAACAACTTATCAGCCTCTGCAGGATCCTGGAATTTGAAAATAAAGGAAGAAACAAGAAAGTAGCTTCAGTTATAACTCTATAAAACTTATCTGTTTGGTAAGAACAGAAAGCAGTCTTGATTAACCCATCTGTTGCCTTCCGAGTACAGCTAAACAAACGAGGTATAAAACAGCTTAACAGGCACACCTGGAATTTCGTCAGAGCCTCACTCAAATAGGGCCATGGTTGTGTGCCATCCTGTTGTGCAGTCCTCCAAGAATCACCAAAAGCTTTCTGATATTCATCTAGCACCTGTAAATCACTAACATCAATCAGTTATTTGATAAAACAAGCATGGAGCACCATATTTGTAGCAGTCCATGAAACCAAGTATGCATAAACCTCAGACACAAACAATTCAAAGACAATTGGATCTAAAATTATCACTAGGGGACCCACTTAAGCTGACAAAACTATCCATCGCCAATATTTGATAACACGAAACCCACTAACTTCAATAATTGGTTAGTGGTGATGTGGTGAAGACAATGGGAGACACGGTTGAGATTACCAGATACTTCACCAATGTCAGCCAATGCTAGCGCTTTAGTAATTCCAACCAATACAAGCCACTAGTAACATGGGAAGCAAGGCATGGAAAATGAAGGGATTATTGAATGCATAATCCAATGATTAAATGAACCCTGTGTTACCTGGTTGAGCAGAGAAAATGCACTTCGGACGGGATAGTGATCATCCATAAAACCCAGCGCACAGAGACCATTGCTGTTGTAACAATGCACTTTATACTCTGTGAAGAAACAAAACAAAGAAATTCAGGTTTCATATGAGCACACTAGAACTCCTAAAGAAGATAACAATTAACAAAAAAAATCAAAGGGGCGTCAACATATCGAAAATGATCAGACATTGCTACAAAACCTAGAAGTGCAACTGATGCCGAAGGAAATTGGGGCATCGAAATTCAAAATTGAACCCTCAAAATTCTATAATTGCTACAAAAACTTGCAGAAAAAGAAAAACTCTGCAGTTCAAAACAAATTCGAGAACCGCAAGTCCAGGAAAGAAAAAAAAATCAGTTTCACCGACAGCCCAATTCGAATCAGATTAATCAGCAATTAATTTGTAACACGAAATGGGATGATCATAGATTTCATGAAATTGCAAATTGGCATAAATTCGTATATATCCCAAAGAACAATTGTAGGTGAAAACAAAAACAACTGTAAAAGGAGATCCCTGAAAATTGGGAGGGGGGACCCGGATTAAGAACGGACCTTCGTGCTTGACGGACTGGCGTTGGCCTGGCGGGGTGCGTCTGGCGACGGTGCGACCGACGAAGACGATGAACTCCTTGACGCTGGACCTCTGGAAGTAGCCAAAGTGGCTGGTATCGGAGGCATTGGCCAAGATGATCGGGTCGGATTCGTCTGAATTGTACTTGAGGACCAGCAAGGCCGTGATCTTCATCTTCCTTCTCTGATTTTTCTGTCCGAAAGATATAATCACAGGGTTTGTACGCTGGTGACGGATTTAGGGATTTGGAGATTTGGGGATTTGGAGATTGAGATCGTGGAGAAGTGGAGAAAGCGGAACGAAAAGTAGGAATTGTGTTCTGCCAATTGGGGGAGGGGTGGGGGATCTAGTGCGGTTGGAGATTCTGTGATATTGTGCGCTTGTTTTGTTCCCTCCGTTTTAAAATCGAATAAAAATTTCCTATTCTTTTTCTAAGGTATACATAATATAATTCCTTATGTTTTACAAATGTGAACTTCGAACCATCACGAGTGGCCCAGTTAGTTGGAATGAATTTTAGGCTAGTTTTCACACGGTAGATTCTGGATTCGACCTTTTATGATGTTGAATCACATAACGATGGTTAGGAAACGCTGAAATGGTTCTGTAAATCTTTTTCGTTCCCGAAAATATAGACTATCATAGCAAAACCACCAATTGATCCATTTTTGAAAAAAATGTGAACTCATAAAGTTTGTTAGGTACTATGTTTACTTCAATATGAATGTGCTTATTTTCACTCTTAAAATCTCATTTCGCACTCTAAACTTTCTAATTAGAAAGAAAAATACACGTGCAAGGAGTATATAATGAAATTTTTAGAATGCTAATAATAGTTCCTTTCAAAAATTATCTTTATCAATTTTTTTTCATACGATGTTAAACCTCATCCTACACTAGTAGACGTCGTATTTCAAGTTCAAAGCCTTAAGGGGAAGTTTAAACACACGATATTGAAAGCGTGGATAAATATTATTACTACTTGAGCTACAAGTATTTTACAACGTTTATAGTTACTTAAGCTTGAATGTTATATCTTGATAGTAGTAACAATGGCTTCATGTAATAACGGTTCAAAATAATAGTGGCCGTTTGTGATTTTCTTCGAACTAGGGTGCAAAAAAGCTTTCAAGATTGATAAATACATAAATAAAAAATGATCTTGACCACTAACTGATATAACACATGCTAACTGGTATAACACACGTCTGTAGCTTTCCGTCTATTTTAAAGCGAAATTGGAAATCCATGCAACTTTACGGTTCTGTTTAAATAATGGGATTCTTTCATATGCATAGTTGTACTTTTAGCATAAGTTATAAATTTGTCCAAGTTGCCATGGTGGAGATTGGTTCTAACTAATGTATTAACAGATGTTCAGTGGAGATTTATTTATAATTGAATGGTGGAGATTGATTTAGTTGATGAAAGCTATTAGAAGAGTTTGTTAGAAGCTTGTCTGTAAACTCTCTATAATTTTTATGTATCTGGTTCAACTTTCATTTCA